CTATCGGGAAAACCCGATTTTCAAATTGTAGGTTTCTTGAATTTCCCGAAAAATTGAAATGTTGGTTAGGAGGTCGTCTAATTCAACTTACCGGAGGTTCAAATTACCATTCTGGAGTTAGATTAGTATAGTTTGCGGCGCGAAGCCCGGCGCACACTTCAAATTTACATGCGGATTAACTTACTCCCAGCGGCCGCGCAAAGCCACTCCGACTACATTTTTTTCACTTTACACATAATTACGAAAATTTCCTCCTCTGCTTATCCTATTTCCTCACCCCCCCCCAACTCTGTAACAACCGTTTTTGCAGTGCAAAATGCAGATACTAGGGGTAAATGAGTGGGCCTACATAAACTACTTTTGAAAAAACTGAACAGAATTAACTTTTAAAATGCCTAAGTTCGTTTTTTGTTGTGGTCCTTGTCAGTGATTTGCGTAAGATTAATCAGAAACATCAAAAAGAAGCGGCGCGTAAACACGTTAAGTCGGAAAATATCTGGTTTTTTTTTTGAAGCACTCGAAAATTTGACGACGACTTTTTAAATCTGGAGCTAATGCTGGCGTGTTTCTATTAACTTTAACCATTTGACCAGTTGACCTCTCTACTGGACTGCTATTTTACTACTAAAAGAAATCCCTTTCAGTTGTTATACAATAGTTCCATAAATTCGCGTGTTCCTTGGTTTATGTAGCGTAAGCAAACGTTTTGTTATTTTTTGCCACAAAAATACGGTAAAGTGACTAAAAAACACGTTTAAGTGAATTCGTGGTTTTTTGTTTTGATCCTTTTCGCTCGTTTGCCTAACATTAATCAAAGACGGTTTTTGCAGTTCACAGGCTCAGAATCTATTTACAAGTGTATTTCCAATATAAGTCGTAGAAAATAAATTGTCTAACACTAGAGAAAAGTGAGGCAAAAGTTTGGAAATCTCACAAACATAGACAAAACCTATATTTGTTTTTATTAATTTTGCTTATTGATTTTCGTGTGAGCCGCGCGGAGTTACTGGAAAAGTGAGAATCCCTGACAGTTAAACGTCAAGCCTTTCCTTGCAGGGCAACTAAGGGTTTTTAGGGATAACTGTGGAGTGCAGGATAAAAACTGTTTCAATCGGGAACTGCATAAAGTGGTACCTTTGTCCATTTCCTTTGTTCCAGCCTATAGCTACTGAGCTCAGCTCATTGAGGCGATCGAATCTCAACAGTCCGATGTCATTCTCGTTTATGACTCTCCTGTGGTAAATGCCCAGGGAATTGAAGGGTGAAACCCTGTGACCTGAATATAGGACAGTCCATTGCCACTGTTTTTGCAAAGAAGAACGAAAATGTACGCTGAATAGGCCTGGTTAATCCTTTAGTTTTTGGACGACGTCCTGGTCAAAAGGGTGCTAATGGAGACCTACGTCAAAATCTTCATATTATCACTACTGGGTTGTCACAAAAAATTATAAAGTGGAGTTTGCTCCCCATGTGACGCATCCGTGTGAAGTTTTTGGTTCCGTAGAACGCTTGCCAATTAAAAAAAATATACTTCATATGCATTTGTGTTTTTAGTATATTTTTCACAAAACTGCTTTCAAATAATACACAAAAAGCGAGATCGGCAAGTTGACAGGTGCTCTTTTTTAGTCTAAGTTACCGGATGACTCTCTAAACGCAAGATTTAGAAGAATGTGTGTATGTCATCGCGAATTTTTCTGTTAGGCCCAAGCTCACCCTGTCGACAGTTTTCATGCAAAATGGATATTTTAAAACAAATCCTTCATTCGTTTTAGCCGTTATGTCGATCCTCTGCGTTGGAGCCGCTGTCATTGGTGTTGTCTTGGGCGTGATGTACTGGCCGAAGTAAGTGCTTGACTTATACTGTTCAATTGCCTTTTCTAAGCGTATAAAACGTAGTATAGGCAGAAGGCCATTACCGACAAAGACATAGAACACTACAATGGCCAGTTCTGGCGTATTTGCTGCCGTCAGGTAGTGATACCCAACTCCAGTATTGCTGCTAAAATTGCTGCCACACTCGAGTTTCGAACTCGCATCTCTCCGTTCAGAGGCGAACGCCTTAACCACTGAACAATCGAACTCGCAGTCTTGTCGATATTAAGTGGGAG